TTCTTTTGGTCCCAATTCTGATTCCATTAGTCCATTTTAAGCCAATAGCTGTGAAAATCTTCCTAAAATTGGTGGTTGGCAATAGATGGACCCACAGCACTGCTAATGTGCCTGTGGCATTTATGAAATATTTGGACAGAAAGTCACTCCCACCTGGAACCTAAGGAAGAGTGACAAAAGGAAAAATAATCAAGGGAAGTGGTATTGATTTGAAAGAAAGAGCACAATGGGGCTGGAGTAGTCAGGAGAGCTTTGTGAGAGCCATGGGGTTTAAAGTGGTCAGGATTTAAAGGAATGGATCACCATTATCTTTCATCTTAAATCATCCTTAATTCCAAATCTCATGGGTATTTACTTGAGTTTCATTGTGCCTAAGTTGCTAAAAAATCTGATCTAATCTCCAAATTCTTGAGTTGTCATGATTGCATTGTAAGTTCTATTATTTTCTTTATTGTCAGCATTTAAATCACAATTCCTTGCTCAAAAGATACAAAAACAAAACCACTTTTGCTACCTAATAGGCTATGAGGCAGAATCTTCTAGTACTGACCTGTTTCATAAGAAGATCCATTCCCCAAATAATTTCATCATTTTATATGAGTTACATAATTTATTATTTCTGTATTGAAAACTTTTATTTAAAAAATCTATTAGAGAATGGTGACTTTGAAGTCATAGATTTGTACTATTCCTCTATAATGAGATAAAATTTACGAACATCACTTAAGAGCAAATATTGCTGTAAGTTTTGTAATAAAATTTTGGGGGACATGTTAAATAGTGGAGTTGAATGACTATTGATCTTAGCCTTCATTGATTAAAATTAATGTGTGTGTGTGTGTATGTGTGTCTCTGTGTGTGTGTGTGTGTGTGTTTATGTGTGTAATGGTTTACTACTTTTTTGGTGTAAGGAAGGACGTTTTACCAAGTACCATGTGGTATAAATTGTACAAAACACCCCTTAGGAGTTGGTTTAGGCATCAGCCATCTGAATGGTCATTTCCCTCTTCATTTTGCCCTTTGGTGGTTTGGGCTTAACTTCTGAGAGGCAGCATTCTTGAGAGAGAAGAGTAGTGTCACTTCAAGAACTGCAGTGTTTTCTACCTGACTTTTCTTGTTGGAAATGTGAGGATCAAATGTAGCTATGTAGGATGAACACCAGCTGCTTCTGAATCGATCCACTCCCCTTGTCGGCTTTGGAGGGTAGCCCCACAGATGAGCACAGCTCTGCTGCTCCACTGCCCAGGTTATTAGAGTCCAGGCTTCTCCACTGACTGGAGGTTTGGCTTGAGATAAATCCATTTAATCCTTCTGTCTCAGTTTCCTTTTCTGTAAATAGATTATGATCATAATACTTACCTCTTCAGGGTTTTCTGTGATGATTAAATAACTTGATACATGTAAAACACTTAAAAGAGTACCAGCCATGTAGTAAATATCCAATAAATGTATTGTTATTCTTATTACTACTAGGTAATTACAGGATTCCTATCTATAACCCTGCAAAAATCTGCAACTAGTTTATCATCATCATCATCATAAATCATCTCTTAAATTAAGGTTTACACCTGATTTAGAGATGCTGGTACTTAGTTCTCTTCTGATTCTATGGCAATGTTATCAATTGTTGTAGTTTGACGTATCACTCATATTCCAGTGACTTCTGTATCTTTGCACAGTTCTGGGCTCTGACTCTGTGCTATATAGAACCATATTTACAGATGTTTACCAGAGGCCAGGCACCATGGCTCATGCTTGTAATCTTGTAATCCTAGCACTTTGGGAGGCAAAGGTGGGTGGATCATCTGAGGTCAGGAGTTCAAGACCAGTCTGGCCAACATGGTGAAACCCCATCTCTACTAAAAATAGAAAATTAGCCAGGTGTGGTGGTACATGCCTATAATCCCAGCTACTCAGGAGGCTGAGGCAAGAGAATCACTTGAACCTGGGTGGCGGAGGTTTCAGTGAGCCAAGATCATGCTACTGGACTCCAGCCTGTCTCAAAAAACAAAACAAAACAAAAAATTCACAAAAAACAGATGTTTAACAGAATCTTCACCTTGATGTCCCCTGGACAACTGAAAGAAAAAATGCCCACAACTGAAGTTAGAATTTCCCTCTGAGCCTTGTTTTCCTACTAAAAAATGTTTTTAAACTCTTTCTGCTTTCCTTATGATATTATACTAGGTTGAATATTGTCCCCTCCAAAAGTCATGTCTACCTCAAACCTCAGAATGTAACTTTATTTCTAAATAGTCTTTGCAGATATAATTAATTAAGATGAAGTTATACTGGATCAGAGTGGACCCTAAATGCTGTGACTGGCGACTTTATAAGAAAGCCCCGTGAAGACATAGAGATATACAGAGAGCACCATGTGAAGGTGGAGGCAGAAGCTGGAGTGGTGTGCCTACAAGCCAACAAACAACTGCCAGCATCACTAGAAGCTAAGAAAGAGGCATGCAATAAATTCCCACTTAGAGCCTCCAGAAAGAGCCAAGGCTGCCAACACCTTGATTTTGGACCCCTGGCCTCTTGAACTGTGAAAGAATAAGTTTCTGTTGCTTTAAGCCACTTACTTCGTGGTACTTTGTTATGGCAGCCCCAGAAAACTAATAACAGACACTGTCAACTGTTACTAAATTTAGAATTCTTAGAACCATCCTTACCTATACTCGTTTCCTAGCGATGCCCACATGAAATACCACAAACTGAGTTGCTTAAAACAGTAGAAATTTATTCTTCTGCAGTTCTGGAGGCTAGCAGTCCAAAATCTAGGTGTCAGCAGGGCCATGCTGCCTCTCAAACCTGTGTGGGAATCCTCCCTGCCTCTTCCTAGACTCCGATGCTTTGCTGGCAGTCTTTGGTGTTCCTTGGTTTGCAGCTGCAGAACTCTAATCTCTGCCTCTTTGGTCACCTGGTGTTCCCCCGGTGTGTCTCTGTCTTCACCTGACTTTTTATAGGGAGGCCATTCATATTGGATTAGAGGCTCACCCTACTCCAGAATGACCTCATCTTCCTCATCTTAATTTACCTAATTACATCTGCTAAAACCCTATTTCCAAACAAGGTCACATGCTGAGGCACAAGGGGTGAGGACTTCACATACCTCTTTTGGGGCGGGGACACAATTCAACCTATAGCACTACACCTTTCTTTTGTCACCATTTCAACTGATCCCCTTCTAGCTATTTCACGTTCTCCTGCAGCAGCTTCTCTCAGAGGTAGCTCCTGTTCTCCATGCCTGCTTCAGCTGCCCTGGTTATGGCACCGTCATCTTTTCGTGGTATTATTACACTCACCTCCAGATTGATTTTCTTACTGCATTTCATTCTCTGTACATCCAGCAAGTTAGCTCATCGGTTTCTAATCAGATTGCTGTCATTTCCCTGGCCAAGACCTATCAGTGACTTCCCCTAACCACAGCCTCAAGTATAAACTAGCACAGAAGGTCAGAAGTTCGGCCCCAGCTTCTCCTTCTAACCATCTCTCTTGCCACTTTGTACCATGTGCCACAAACCACACTGCTCTACTCACCCTTTCTTTAAAATAGTTTTTAGATCTCTAGGCCTTTGCTTATGCTTTTCCCTATGCCTGGAACATCCTTCACTACCCTTAACCCTCTGCTGAACTGCTTTGTGTCCCATAAGGTCCAACTGAAACACCACTTAATCAGCTGGCTTCCAAAATTCTATCACATCAAATAATTGAGCCTTTACCTATGTGTCTGACACCTTGTGATTCTGGATACTAATATTAATATACATATATACAACAATTAATCTTGACAGTCATATTTCAATCTTGACAGTAGAAATATAAGCAACTGTATGTACGGACTTTGCCTCCTGTTGATATTAATTAACTATTGCAGCATACGCAAAGAGTTTGTGTGTATATATACACACATATGTATTACATATTATAGAAAATGTGCATCTGTGTGTGCATGTGTATGCACACATAAAGTGGCTTATCTTCAGGATCATACTGTGAGTGATCCAGCGTTCTTTTCAATGTTTCCTGAAGAAACAGTAACCAAGCAACATATAGCTAATAGTTTGTATTTTAAAAATTGGGTTCTTTAGATGGCAGTTCATGCCTGTAATCCCAGCACTTTGGGAGACTGAGGTGGATGGATAACTGGAAGCCAGGAGTTCAAGACCAGACCAGTCTGGCCTGTATGGGGAAACCCATCTCTCCTAAAAATACAAAACTTAGCCAGGCATGGTGCCGTGTGACTGTAATTCCAGCTACTCGGGAGGCTGAGGCACGAGAATCACTTGAACCCAGGAGGCGGAGGTTGCAGTGAGCCAAGGTTGCACCACTGCACTCCAGCCTGGTGCCTGGTGACAGAGTGAGACTCTGTCTAAAAAAAAAAAAAAAAGAAAAAAAAGAAAAAAAAGAAAGTATGGGAGGAGCTATCACTGTAACAATGCCGAATAACAACTCCTTAAATTTCAGTGGTTCACAAGACACATTTCTTTTCTTGTCTGTGGGCATGTAGGTCAGTCAAGCATGGGTGGATTCAGCTGAGCTTGGCTCTTAGTCTACAAGTCCAGCCTGGTCTGATCTACCTTGGTCATTCTAAGAACAGCAGCGTCCCAGGCCATGTTCTTCTTATGGTGATGGCAGAGGCACGGAAGGCCAAGCCAAATGATGCCAGCACGCTGGAGCCTCTGTTCATGATATGTCTGCTTACAGTACATAGGTCAAAGCTAGTCATGTGGCCCACCCCATATCAAAGGAACAGGAAAATACACTCTTCTTACTCCACGGGAGGTCCTAGAGTCACATGACAAAGAGTGTGGGTGCATAATTCTTATACAGGCAGGCAATGAAGAATCAAGAACAAGTATCCAGTCTACCACAAAGTCCTTATGAACCTAAAGTAGATGGTACAAATTTTCACTTTGAATATAAACTGTTTGGTGTTGAATTTGCAAAACTGTACTTGGAAATGTGGCTCTAATCGTATCCATTTTTGTTTTTTTTTCTAGAGATGTGAGGATGTTTGGCTTGGGATGTCATCACCTATTCCTGCAAAAAACATTGACTACTTAACCTTTTTGAAGGATACGTTTGGCTTAGAGGAGGAATAACCATGCCAGTTTTGGTCAATTCTTTTTGATTTACTTCTCTAATTTTGCCACATTTACTTTAGTAGATATAATTTCATTAAAAACAAAAAGAAACAAGGTTATATTGAATGGGAATCCGTAAACCACAATGAATCTTATTTTGTCATGTTAGATTTTCAGGACACCATATTATATTGCTGATGTACTAGTACTATTTAAAATGCCATTTTGAAACATGTTGAGTATTTTTATTATATGTATGATTTATTAATACCAAAAATCTTCTGATAGTTTCTCATCAAACATAATTTGATTCATGACTATATGAATGGAAAGTGAATTTTGATGGTTATACATGACAATATAAAATGAAATTATATCACAGAAATAAGTTGTGATTCTATTAAACATTTCTGAAATCTTTTTGACATGTTTATTACTTATATAATTAAGTTTTCTGGCAACTCACCTCATCAAAATAGTTCTTAAACCTTTCTAGAGTAAATATGTTTATCTTTTGAACTTAGTAAGCTATGGAAAGAAAAAACCTCCCCTCGACACACACACATACTTGGGAAACAAATGGGAACATATGCAGTATTTATATTTTTAATACCCTTTTTTTAACTAAAGTCATCTTCTTAGCTTAGGAATATATGCATGTGTATATAATTATAGTATGGCCAAAATTTATTATGTCTAAAATATTTAGGAATGTGAATGCTGAAGATTTTGAGATTTTTTTTTTTTTTTGGTTTGTTTTATACACACATCCCACCCACCCCACCCTAGAGGTTTACATATTCAGAAACTACAACATTTCCCCACTGCATTTTTCTAGTTCTATTTTTATTTTTCTTCAATGGAACTCTTGTCATATACTGTACATTTGATTAAAACCCATAGCCATGTACTTCTGGGAATTCAGTGTAGAAGTCTATCTCAGTCTATCTGTTGTTCAGTGTTGGGTGCTATGTATCATCAATCCATTTCCCTGGTGTTCTCGGAGACAATGGAGGCCTCTCAAGAAGGACCTGCACCATTTACCTTTCAGTGACTACTTTGAGAAGAAGAGGAGCTGATGACATCTCAAGGGACCCTTCGGACTCATTATTCTTTCACTCCATATTTGCAGTAGTGTCTTGCTGGCTTCTTGGCACTCAAATGTACCAATATGCTCTTGACAACAGTGGTCCTTTCATGTTTTAAAAATTGAAGTTAATCGATAAACTATTTCTATATAGAAACCTACGATAATTCCACATGTGCTATTGTTAGAATAGATGCTTCCCCCCACCCCCACCCTTTCAGGACTTTAAACTAGTATCCTCAATTTATATACTAAAACTATCTACCATAAAACCTAAATTTCACTACTTGATTTTTGTCCCAGGTTTTTTTTAAGGCAACTGACAGTGCCAAGCCATTTTGTCACTTTAAGATTTTTCATTCCCCAGAGAGCAAGCTTTTAGAAGGATGACACTTTCCTGGAACTTTTCAAGCTGACACATTCGTCACTTACCTATTCAACTCTTCAGTCAGTTGTCTTTCCTTCAAGAGTTTAAATATGTAGATAATTTAGCCCTTGTAGAGGCTCATAATATAGTTCATTTGAGAAGTGGGGGGAGAAAAAGAAAGGAAGCAAACCAGTGACAATGCTCCTGAGCTTGTGGGGTGACACTGCTCATTCTATTGCATAGATGTGTGTTACTGCCCTGGTTGTTTCTGGATCAAGCCCACAATTAGCAATGAAATGGCCATTATAGGATTCGTGCCGATAAACATGATACATTGCAGCCATACAGACACTTTAAATAATTATTCTTTTTATAACTAAACCATATACCGAACAAGATTTATAATTTAGAGATAATATCCCCATTAGTAAAGTTTATGACCCAATAAACAGCTCCCACTAGTTAATAAATGCCAAAGCCATAAAAGCAAAGACTATTAATGTAATAGAATTTCTGTACCTCCCTCTTTTGCTGGTGGTCTCAAGACACTGAAGGGAAATGCTATCTTAGGAAAAACATTTATTCTCGTTATGTAAATATCAGTGAATTGTCTTACAATCCATCTGGAAGTCTCCCAGCCCCCCTTGGTCCCAGGTGGTCCCAAAATGCTGATGCATTCTGCTTAGGTTTCAAGCAGTAGATAACTCTGGTTTTCAGCACAAATAAACTCTGAGACTAAAATCTTTGGGGGTGGAGGGCTGGAATTTCTGCCTCTTCTCTTCCCTCTGCAAAAGAGAAATCCCAACTCTTGTCATTGTTCCAGGGTAATTTGAAAGAAGTTTCACAACCTTTCCATATAGTTATATATTCAGCTGCTAACGTGATCTCATTTTGATGAAAAAGCAAGTGCTGCCTTTGGATGTCTGGGTGAGTTGAAGGTTAATACAGGCAAACCTTTTGTCCTAAGAACTAACTGTTTTTTAGTATTCTCGGAACTGTGGGAATGATTGATAAAGCCGTTTCAAACCCCAAATCAAATCATGTCTTTTCATACAAAACTGATTAAAAGCTGTTGAAGCTCACATTAAGTGGTTTGCGGAGGCACTGTTGTGAGGTGTGGTGTCGCCAGCAGAGGATTAATTTGCAGTGCTTATTTGCCTTTTGTTACCTTTTTTACCTAACCACTTGAAAAGTAGTGTGGGTAAGGTCTATTGGTTGACTTTAGCTTAAGCTTGCTAAAATGGTTAAAATTGTAGACAACAGAGGGGAGATACAGAGCTTCATAACTTTCAAGCATTATAATAGGCATTTGTCTACTTTATTTCCTGTATTGCTTTTGATTCAATTACTGACAAATACACTATTCTTGCTATTTTTTTTAAACACTTGAGTATTTGAAGTTTGGTTATTTGGGGTTGTAGAGCTTCTAAGCTTTATGGACCCCTCAGTCATGAGTTTAGAATGTTGGAATTTCCCTCCCTTCTTTCAAATAGGGAATTATTGATGAGTAAAATGGAATCTCAAATCAATGCAAAATACAAAACTGTTGCCTGTTCAACTTGGCTTTATCTTGAGTTGGGGTTGCTTCCTAGCCTTTTCCCCTTATTTCTTCTTTCTCCTTTCCTTCCACCACACATTATGATTTGCTATATGCTTAGTAGTTGGAGTCATAATGAAATAGTAGGGCCTTCCACGAAATAGTTATGATATTGAATAATGCAGAATCCATTATAATGAAGTGCCATGCTCCCAATTACATGTACATTCATTTTAGTTATGAGTGTAGATCCCTGAATTTTAAATACCCTTAAAAAATGGTCTGTAAATGACTTTTCAGATGAACAGATTCCAGTGATGGTGGAAACATATACACGGGTGATGCGTCTCTGCCCTGATGTTGGTTTGGGCAAAGTCTGAATTGCTTCAAGTTGAAGGCAGGTTAAGACCTTTTCAAAAACGAGTTTCTTCAAGTTGACTGAGCATCTTCAGAGACACAGTGCTTTTCAATTCCCGAGAGAATGTAATGTGTAAAAATGGAAAGCCCACTGAGGCAAGATCAATGAGGCTATTTAGAAAACAATAAACCTGGAGCGATAATGGAGCAAACATTATTACAAAGGGTAGAGCTGACTGTGCAATTAGTTTAAGAGAATTTTGTAACTCACCTCCTCTCCTTATTCTACCAGGTTGTATATACTGGTTTAAATATACATTTTCATTCAAGGTTAATTAAGTTCCCTAAAACTAAGAGTTCTGAGATATCTTTGTCAACAGAGTGGATGGAATATGCATCTTCTTTGTAAATTGTTCCTGGTCCCCAGTAAAATTCCTTGCAAGGGAACTTTCAAACCCATTATGTGTCTTGTGTGTGGTACACACACGAGCCTAGGGGTCAGCACTGCTGCTCAGAAGCAACTTGGTAAAAGCCAAAAAAAAAACGTGGCCGATGAAAAACTCCACAGCAGCTCTGCAAGCAGAGAATTAATGACTCGCTGGAATCAGTAGGAGCCTTTACTTCTAAATACTCATTAGTTAAAGCAGTGAGGCCTGATGTTATGCAAGTTAGAGAGGGAAAGAGGGGACTGCCCCTCCCCATTGTCTATTTTGAACAGAAAATGCACATTTAACTCAAAGTGCTGAATGATTCAAATACATCAAACCAACTATTCATCAGTTTCCCAGCTTCCTGAGCACCACTTTGCATCTGTGTAAAGCCAACAATAGAGGAAATGCTTGTTATGACCTCGCTATAATATTACAATCCAGAGGGGCTGATAGCTTGGTGAAAACATAAAAATGCATTTTCCTTTAGAAATAGTTCCACCAAAGTCATCTTCGTGTTTCTTTTTTCCTGCTTGCCTATACAACAAGAACCTCTGACTGAAATAGGAACTTGATAAAATTGCTTTTGCCTGCTTTTTTCTCCTGTGCTACCACTGTTCATTATTGCTGTGAGGCCACCCATTGAATAAAGAACAGGAGCTGAACGGCCATTTCAGACTGCTGCGAATGCCCCCAGTTTTAACTACGACTGGAGCTAGGAGGGCAAGAAGGGAAGTGGCAAGAGATGACCATTTTAGAGGGGAGTCAGGACAAAAATAGGGACCACCTTGTGTGTGTGACTCATGTTGAAGAGTTTGCACTTCATCCCAAGGGAATGAGAAGTTTCTGAAATATTTTAATCTGGGGAATGGAAAGATCATGTCTGTATTTAAAAATCTCTGGCTGCTCTGTGTATGTGAACTCTAAGAGTGGGTTTGGCGGCAAGAAGACTGATTAGTAGACTGTTGCCAGAGAAGTGATGGGTAGTTTGGATTAATGTAATGTTGGTGTGAAGTGGAGGGATTCACGATGAATTTGGGATGTTGGAGATGAGGGAGAGGAAATCAAAATTGTGACTGGGTCATTTTCACAGCTGGGCAGATGGTGTTGCTATTCATTGTGTTGGGATTCTTGAGAGAAAAATCAAGCGAAGGGGGAATATCAAAAATTCTGCCTTGGGCATGCTGATTTAGGGTGCCTGTGGAACTGATAAGTGGCCATGTTAAGGGAGCTGGATTAACAGGTCTGAATCTTAGCAGACAGGCCTGGGCTGGAGAGGCATATTTGAGAAACATCAGAGTATGGATGGAAATTGTGAGTTTGGATAGAATTACTCAGGGGAGGCATGTTGTTTGAGAACCATAGTGTCTGCCGTATTACTAATAGTAATAACTTTTTTAAAAAGCAGCTTTATTGACATACAATGAACTGTACATATTTAAGTATACAATTTGATGAGTTGATATATGTATATACCCACAATGCATCACCCCAATCAGGGTAATAAATTGTTAAATTAAATTAAATTTGGCCTGAGGCTGCCTTCTGACTTTGAGCCCTAACTTAATGAACTGTAAATAACTGAAAGCCTGACTTAGGAGTGTCAGAAGCATTTGAACCAGAGCGACTCCATCTTGAATAGGG